TTCACAGTGTATTTCAGTGGATCTGCCTGTTCTGCTCCCCACTCTGTCTCTGGTGAATCCTCTTACCACCCCTGCACCTCTGGCCTGTACCCCAGTTCTGTATACATAAATAAATAAATCTTAAAAAAAATGAAATTTATATGGAACCACAAAAGGCCTCGAATTGCAAAAACAAAAAAAACAAAGCAAACAAACAAAAAAAACACAGGAAACCTGAGGGAAAAAGGGCAGCAATGGAGCTGTCAAGCTACCTGACCTCAAACTAGACTATAAATACGAATTGGCACAAACTTGACAACAACACGGACTGGCACAAAAATAGAGACATGGATCAATGGAACAGAACTGAAAGCTCAAAAATAAATCCACATACATACCAGCAAACAGACTACAACAGAGCAGTTATGACCATAAAATGGGGAAAAGACGGGGGTGGGGGTCGCTAGTGGCGCCAGGGGTAAAAGCCCAGCACTATGAAGCTCTTGCAGCCACTGCAGCAGTTTGACCCCCGCCAGGGAGCTGACCCACATGGCGCGGCAGACCTCTCCTGTCTCGCCTGCTGCTCCCCTCCGCAGCATTATTTCAGTCGATCCACCTGCTCTGTTTTCTACTGTCTCTGGTGAATGCTCTCACCGTGTCCCCCACTGGCACCTCTGGCCTGTACCCCAGTTTAGTATGCATAAATAAATAAAAATTTTTTTAAAGATTTATTTATTTATGTTTACAGAACTGGGTACAGGCTAGAGAGGTGGTGGGTGAGAGGATTCACCAGAGACAGAGTAGGGAGCAGAACAGGCAGATTGACAAAGTACACTGCTGAGGGGAGCAGCGGGTGGGTCAGGAGAAGTCTGCCGTGCCATGTGGGTCACCTCTCGGGCAGGGATTGAACTCTTGCTAAAGTGGCCACGATGGCTTCATAGCGCTGTGCTCTAACCCGTTGCTGTTGCACCAGAGGGAGGGCCCTTTGCCATGTATCTTTTTAGCTCCCATAAAACAGGTGGAGCAAACACCTTCCAGTGGGGAGAAGTGGCCCTCATAGGCCTCTGCAGGAAGCAGTGAATGAGGACGAAAGACAGACACCTGGGCAGCATCCCAGAGGAGGGCTGTCTCTGCATTCTTTACTGGAATCCACCAATTTACTAAATGATTCCTTAAATATTTCCTGTACTAGGTTCATACCTGATGTTGTAAAATTCTATAAGTTTTTTTTAATACATTTTTTTTCTTTATTGAGACAACGCTGGTTTACAGCACTGTGTATGAGTCAAGATTCACACTTCCTTGGATGTATGTCACCCGACCACACCCAGCACAGGATACCCAGAGTCCTTAACCCTGGACTTTGGCCCCCCCCCTCCTCCAGCAGCCTTAATCCTGCAGCCATATTTCTAGGTTTTGTTTTGGGGTCTTTAGTTTTGTCAGTTCCTTTGTTTTGTTTCTCTACATATGTGTAGAACTATTTGTCTTCTCCCGGCTTATTTCATTCCGTCCATGTTGTCACAAATGGCAGGGTTCATCCTTCTTTATAGTTGAGAAATTTTCCATTGTGTTTGTATACCAATTATACATACACATACAATTACACATATAATGGTTTACCCAATTATATCCACATCTTAATCTGCTGCTGTTGTTGGGTGTTTAGATTGTTTCCATAACTTTGCTATTGTAAATAGTGTTGAAATGAAGCATTCCATAGGCTTTGAAAAAAATCCATGTTATATATCCACCATTATAGTTTCACAGAGAATATTTTTACCACCTCAAACCCCTGGCCACCCACTGGTATTTTTGTCGTCTCCCTACTTTTTTTCGTTTCCATAATGTCACAAGGTTGGCATCCCATACATAGTATGTAACTCTTTCACATTGACATCTTTACGTATTTAAGGTTCCTCCATATCTCTTCAAGACTGGATAGCTCATTTCTTTTTTTAGTTGACTAATATTCCACTGCATGAATGAACTATATATATATAGTTGGTTTATCCAATTATATAGTTGATGTTCTTTGGAAGAACATCTTGGCTGTCTCTAGTTTGGGAAACTATGAATAAGCTGATATAAACATTTGCATGTAGGTTTTTGAATAGGCATAAGTTTTCAATTCACTTGGGTAAATGTCTAGGAATGTGATTGCTGGATCATATGGTAAAAGTATGCTTAGCTTTGTAAGAAGCTGCCAAATTGTCTTCCAAAGGGACTGTACCACTCTGCATTCCCACAGCAAGGAATGAGAGTTCCTGTTACTCTGTGTATTTGTCAGCATTTGATACTGTTAGTTTTTTGGACTTTGACTACTCTAGTGAAATAAGATTTGTAGTTTAATAACTGTACCAATTCTCCAGCTAGACCAATTAATGTTTTACCAATTTTTAGTTTTGATAACTGTGTCCACAACATGACCATTGGAGAAAACTAACTGAAGGATGTGTTGGAACAACCTATACTACTTTTGTAACTTTTCTGTAAGACTAAAATCTTTTCAAAGTACAAAGTTAGTAAGAATCTGTATACTCACCCTTTGTTATTCACACGAAAGTCCTGGTCCTATGCTTGACCAGATGCATCTCTAAGCTAGTACCGAAGCTGTAGGTTCCAAAAGCTGTTCCCTCAATAGTTCTGTCAGGTGGTCGCCTCTGGAAGGTCAAGTGCACAAGTGACTCTGTAATCACTTTCCACTACTGCACCTCTTCTGCGAAAGCAGTAGGTTGCGTGGCTTGAGGGGATGTTATGTGGTGATCAAACACTTAGTCAGCGTCAGACGATGGTGCTGGCTGGGGCCAGGCAGGCAGAGGCCGAGGCACACCCATAACAGGTGTTATACTCATTTCAACCAAGATAGCGCTTCCTGGGGCCTCCCTGATGGCACGAGGGTTAATTCTCAGCACTATCAAGCTATCACCAGCCACTGTGGCCGGCCTGAGTTCGATCCCCGGCCAGGGAGCACATGGTGAAGCCCACCTCTCCCGTCTCACCTGTTGCTTCCTTCGGCAGTGTATTTCAGTCACTCTGCCTGGTCTGCTCCCTGTTCTGTCTCTCATGAGTCCTTTTACCCCCTGCACCTCTGTTCTTTTATGCATAAATAAGTAAAAATAATTTTTTTTTTTTAACAGATCAAGTGCTTCCCTTCCAGAGTGGAAGGGCCCAACTTAACTTGACCCCAGCGGCTGCTGGACTCCAGAAGGCAAGGGCATCACGTGCATTCAGTGTCGGTCTGTGCAGCAGGGGCACTAGCAAGGTCAGCCTTGGTGAGCTGGCGCCCACGCTGGCCAGCCCGGTATTAGCTTCTAGCCCGCACAAGCCTGGGGCGGTCCTGGCAGGCCCATGCCAAGTGGCCAAATCATGCCATTTACTCTGTTTACTCTCACTCACACATGACATGCAGCTCCCTCTGTGCTTGCCCCTGGGCCCATCCTCCATTAAGCCTCTCACCACCTCCATGGAGTCCATAAACCTTCTACTCCTAGGCCACTACATTTTCCTACAAAAGGGGATGACCAGGTGTCTGACTGCAATGAGGAGGACTTCAGGGCTACCTGAGTGCGGCTGCAGTGTAGCAGCAGTCCCGTTTTCAGCTTACACCCTCAGACTGAACCAACCTTTCATGAGTCAAGCTGGAACTCACTCTTCTATCAGCTGGTCATGAGCATGCCCCCTTATGGCATAGGTATGAGCTGAGAGAGGTGCCAGCCCAGCTGGTGGGGGTGCTGGAGCTCAACTCACCCAGCTTACCTCGCCCTCTGACTCAGCTCGAGTCCCGGTTCAGATGGCTTTGGACCTGCCCGTTATGATTGGCGGGGCAGACCGAATGCAGGCCATGACGCGTTGGCTATCTCTGGCCACACAGTAACTTGAGGTCTTGTGGGCACCGTGACTGTCTTACCCAGAACCCAGGAGTGGATGAGGGCCAGGTTTTTGTTTGTTTGTTTTTGTTTTTAAGAATAACAAAGCTTTAGGCCCTCCCTGGTGGCACAGCGAAAGCCACTTCAGCATGAGTTCGATCCCCACCTGCCCCAGGTGACCACATGGCGAGGCAGACCTCTCCTGACCCGCCCGCTGCTCTCCTCAGCAGTGTACTTCGTAGATCTGTCTGTTCTGCTCCCCACTCTGTCTCTGGTGAAGCTTCTCACCACCCCTGAGCCTCTGGCCTGTATCCCAGTTCTGTATGCACAAATAAATAAATCTTAAAAAAAAAAAAAGAATAGCAAAGCTTTAAATAGCTCTTTTCTCAATGATGTTAATAATGTGCACTTTCAAATTTGCTGTGGGAGGAAAACTGAGCTTGGAACAGCTCTGGGATCCTATCACTCTGGGATGGTTCTGGGGTTCTGCCCACGGGAGGGGGGGGTAGGAGATGGAGATGGAAGGAACAGGTAGGGCTTTTCCTTCACCTATCTGCTGCTCAACCTTAGCTCTCCTCTTCCAGGAAGTTTTCCTGGCTTGCTTCATTTCCCATACTCCATTCCATCCCCAAAGGGCCTCCCTGTGCTCCCCTCCTCAGAGTCCTGAGTGTTGTCTACACCTTGACCCTGGAGCTGAGGTGCAGGCTGAGAAAGAACTAGCCAAGTGGAAGGCAGGCACCTTTCCAGGCAGAGGGGTATGAGCCAAGACACAGAGCCGCCGGCTGTAATTCAGTATTTACAGGAACTGGGAGGGAAGCTGGGGGTGGGGGGGGCGGGTGTTCGGAGTGCAAGGAAGAAGGGGTGGGAAAACTGGCTGGGCCTTTAAGATCTCGGCAAGGAGTCAGCACTTGTTTGTTTGAAAAACCACGGGAAGTCCCTGAAGAGCGTGAAGCCAGAAAGTGGCTCTTATCCTATTTTCCTTTGTTTCAAGTAGCCCCCACCTCTCATTTAGAAGTGCAGACCCTGGTGCCCACTAGGCTACCTGACTCAGCGTGGTCTGGCAGAGCCACCTTAAGGCTGCACTACCTTAAGCAGGCTCCACCCAGCACAGCCCACAGGGGGTGGGGGGGGTACCACCTCCAGTCCTCCAGACTGTTCAGTTGCCCAGCTATGGCCTTCTTGCTACGGGCTGCTACCTGGGGGCTAGTCCCCTGGAGGAGCTACTGCTCCAAGGGGGTGCAGGTAGGTAGGCTGGGGGGCCCCCGACACCAAGTTCCCACCAGGCTCGGTGCTGCCCCAGCGCTGTGTGACCTTGAGCTGAGGCTCACTGGCTCACCCTGTGTCTAGTGTGGGATTGAGCGAGTGAGGGCCGCACAGATCCCACAAGTGAGGCTGCAGAGTGTGCAATAAAAGGTGTGGGGTCTGCAGCGCCCCCCAGGGGCTCCCAAATAATAACATATGTTTTCAAAGAATTCCTGGAGGTAAGGATCTGGGTTCTAGCCACCCTGCTGGCTTGCTGGCCTTCGCGCTCCTGCAAAGAGCCCTGTGCCTGCCCCCTGCCCTGGAGTGGGGGTGGGGGCAGCCTTGGCTGGTGGACAGTGGAGCTTTTCCTGGTTTTCCTTTCAGCCTTTCAAGAGGCTCAGGCAGGGCTGCCTACTATATAGAACCCCACTGACATCCTTTTTGTAGGGTGACTGCAGCTTTTATTTTTCATCCAGGTAGGGATTTTCTGAAGTGAAAAACAGACTCCAATGATTCTGTTTGGGAAAGGGGCATTCCTGGATATGGGGTGTGCCAAAGCCTGGGGTGGGGGGCGTCCTGTTGTGTGTTCTGTCTCACCAGCCCCACTCCTCCCTTCTACCACATGGGCAGGGCTGTGGCCCCGGGATCTTTCAGTGACCCCAGGAATGTATCTGTCTTCTATAGAGAGAACTCAGCAAGGGCTTTGTAGAGGCTCTGAGGGAAATTGTGGGGAGCCCCCACGTGTCTACTGCGGTTGCTGTCCGAGAGCAGCATGGGCACGACGAGTCAATGCACAGGTAGGGGGAGTTCCTAGGTCCCCCTTTCCAGTCAGAGGCTCCTTAAGGTTCTGCATTATCCTCTTCCCCACCCAGCAGTTTTGGGGTGCGCTGGTACTCTTTACCTCTCCACACCCTTTTTGAAGGATGTTCTCACCCCCTGCTCCAGGTTCCACAACACCCTCAGGCTCCTTGAAGCTGGAGCTGGCCCAGAGGCTACCATGCACCCCTAATTTGCCAAAGGTCTGGTTCTAGGTGCCAACCTCCGGACGCCGTGGTGTGGCCCCAGAATTCGGAACAGGTCAGCCGGCTGGCAGCCCTATGCTATGACCAGGGTGTGCCCATCATCCCGTTTGGCACAGGCACCGGGCTTGAGGGTGGAGTCTGCGCTGTGCAGGTAGGGTGGCCCCTCCCCCGCCAGGCTCTGGTGGCCCTGCACTGTCACATCTGAGGCTGCGACCCCCACCACACACAGCTCCGTGGGCAAGCCCAGCCCTCCTCACCTGCCACCCCCGGGTTCTTCTGGCTGTGGGAGGCTGGCGCTGTGGTGGGTCCTGTGCCTGCACACTGCTAGGAGGCCCGGGTCAGTAGGACCCTTGGCACCCCTCCCGCCAGGGTGGTGTCTGCATCAACTTGACCCGCATGGGCCGAATCCTGGAGCTGAATCCAGAAGACTTCTCCGTGGTGGTGGAGCCCGGCGTCACGCGCAAAGCCCTCAACAGCCACCTGCGGGACAGCGGCCTCTGGTTTCCCGTGGGTACGCCGGACTCCGGGGGCTTTCCCTGGGCCCGCGGGTTCTCTGGTGGCAGGGCCGTTGCTGGGCCTTGAAGGGCACCCTCCTTCTTGGGGCGCTCGCCCCAGGCTGCCCTTTGCCCCCCAGACCCGGGAGCAGACGCGTCCCTCTGCGGCATGGCAGCCACCTCTGCTTCGGGCACCAACGCTGTGCGCTATGGCACCATGCGGGACAACGTCCTGAATCTGGAGGTGGTGCTGCCAGATGGGCGACTGCTCCACACCGCGGGGCTCGGCCGTCACTTCCGGTGAGCGTCACTTCCGGTGAGCGTCCTGCTTGGCCCCACCACTTCTGGGGGGTCTCCTCCCCCAGTTTCTCAGGAGTGCCCCCTACCAACCATGGCTGTGGGAGCTTCTAGGATCGGGGACTGGACCTTAAAGGGCCCCATGGGACCTTTCTGGTGTTTGTTCTTTCTGTGTGAGTTGGCTTGGGCCTTGGAGCAGGCAGCTACGGTGCCAAGAGCTGGGGGCGCGCTCAGATCCCAGGCACAGCGCTCCGGGCCTCTGACCTGCAATCTTTGGGCACTCACCGGTCTTATGTATCCAGGAAGAGCGCCGCTGGCTACAACCTTACCGGGCTCTTTGTGGGCTCTGAGGGGACACTTGGACTCATCACAGCAGCCACCCTGCGCCTGCACCCTGCCCCCGAGGCCACCGTGGTCGCCACCTGTACATTCCCCACTGTCCAGGCAGCCGTGGACAGCACGGTACACATCCTCCAGGCTGCAGTGCCTGTGGCCCGCATTGGTGAGCCACCCCCGGCGGTCTAGGTGAGCTCCCTGGGTGAGGGCCCCTTGGAAGGCCAGGCCTCACTTGTCCTTCCCTCTCCTTGGTCCCAGAGTTCTTAGACGATGTCATGATGGACGCCTGCAACAAGTACAGCAAGCTGAACTGCTCCGTGGCACCCACGCTCTTCCTGGAGTTCCATGGTTCAGAGCAGGCGCTAAAAGAGCAGCTGAAGCGGACAGGTGTGCTGGGTGCTGGGGGTGCAGGTGCTGGTGGGGAGGTGGGGTGCAGGCTATCCGGGAGTAGGATCGTGTCAACCCTGGTCCCCCGCAGAAGAGATCACCCAGCATAATGGAGCCTTCCATTTCTCCTGGGCCAAGGAGGCTGAGGAGCGAAGCCGGCTCTGGACAGCAAGGCACAACGCCTGGTACTCAACCCTGGCCCTGCGGCCCGGCAGCAAAGTAAGACTGGTCGGGGTGGAAGTGAGCCTGAGGTGAGCCCAGGGATCTTTTCTCCAACACTACAGTTCCATTTCCCCAACCTCACTATCCAAGCAGTTGGTTGAGCCTGCAGCAGGCAGGACTGTCCCCACCCGCTGTTACTCATTACCCGGGACAATCTAGAGGGCAAGTGGACCATGGGCTCAGGAATGGAGCAGGTGCAGCGCTGTGCTCGTAGCCTCCAGGGAAGCTTCCTGGAGAGGGGTGATGCCAGTCACTAGGGGAGCTTGGGCTCCAGGCAGCAAGTGCAAGAGCCCTGTAGTGGAGGTGCTGGGGAGCCCTACAGGTAGTATGGTTGGGGAACAAGGTGAAAGTCCTTCTTAGCCTTGACTACAGTAGCTCCTTACCTACTGGAGTGGCAGGGGGTGCAGGGATGGTGAAGGCGGAATCTCTCAAGCCTGTCCCTGACCCAGGGCTATTCCACTGATGTGTGTGTACCCATCTCCCGGCTGCCAGAGATCCTGGTGCAGGCCAAGGAGGACCTGAAGGCCTCTGGAATTACAGGTGTGCTGCCTCCTGCTGGAGAGGGGTGGGGGTAGGGGAGGTACTGGGGCCCACCAGCTGGAGGAGGGCTGGGCTGTGAGAGACATCTCTGTCCTCTGTGTCCCCAGGAACCATTGTTGGGCACGTGGGCGATGGCAATTTCCACTGCATCCTGCTGGTAGACCCAGAGGATGTTGAGGAGCTCCACAGGGTCGAGGCCTTTGCAAAACAGCTGGGCAGGTCAGCAGAGCCTGGGAGTGGCAGTGGGGGGAAATGTTGCAGGAAGTGGGAAGAGCGTCCCCCACCCTCCACTGAGGAGCTCTTCTTCTCTGCCCCTAGGCGGGCACTGGCACTCCACGGGACGTGTACTGGGGAACATGGCATCGGGCTGGGCAAGCGGCAGCTGCTGCAGGAGGAGGTGGGTGCTGTAGGTGTTGAGACCATGCAGCAGCTCAAGGCCATGCTGGATCCCCGGGGCCTCATGAACCCAGGCAAGGTGCTGTAAGGAGCTCTGAGCGCTTGGACAAGGTTCCAAAGGCACCTCCTGTTCTGAAGAGGAACTTTCTTCATGCCACTGATTGGCTCTACCTGGCCCAGCCCACCAGGATTTCCAGCCACCTTTCCGTATCTAGCAACCCCAGCCTCTCCCTACCCCCCACCCCCACTCACCAGGACAAAGCCTGAGGGCCCCAGCATCTTTAGCCCCATCCCACCTGCCAGGTGACAGAACACTCCTGCCCTCCATGTTATGTGTATAGGGCTGCTCTTTGGGCCCTCAATAAACCTGAACCCCATTTGCAGCTGTCTGGAGATGAAGAGATAGCATCTGTGAATGACCTGTGCTGCTCTGGTTCCTCCAGGTTGCCTGGGAGGTATCCCTGGTCCATCCTCTAACTTAGTGCAGTGAAAGGATGGGGGCGGGGGGAGCGGAAAGGGGCTTCAGAAGGCAGACCACTTTCAGGAAACAGGCTCCTGTGCCAACTACCAACCCCCCACCCCCACCCCATGAGTGCCTCCACGGCTTCAGAACTTGGTCCTGGGCCAAGTTCTGAATTGGACCATAGAACACTCAGAATGTGTTCTTCAAGCAGCTGCTACCTGCCAATCATTGAAAATGAAAGTGCAGTTATTCTCCTTGTACCATCGCTCCATGGTGTGATGTCTTACATTACCAGCTATTTTTGCCACCACTCAGGATCTGTGCACCTCAGGGCCAGCTCAAGGCTTGGGCTCTCTCCTGGCTAGTCACTCATCTAGAGTACTTGACAGTTATTCCCCCCTAAACCCACAAGAGGGCGCCCGACACCATGAAACTCAAGACGCCACAGCTGCTCTGGTCAGAGACGCCTGGGTCTGGGCACGCTTTGGTCATGGCAGGCAGATCTTGGCCTCAACACCCACTTCCCAAGACTGGGGTGAGGCCTGGCATTCTGGGAGTCAATCCACCTCTGGTTGGTTCCAGGAACGGATCAAGCAGGCCCATTTTCCTCACACCCAGCCTCTGCTCCTGGAGGAGGACAGGCGCTGGGCTGCACTGCAGGGGAGCCAGCAGTACCTCCACCTGGCCTTATGCCCATTCTCCCAGCCACCTCCAAGCCCCTTCCCAGCCCACCCTGTTAGCCCCTCCACATGTCGTCCCACCAGCTGGGCAGACAGGCCCTGGGAAGAGAGCCCTGTTAATTTCCTGTCATACTCCTCTGTGGAACTGCTGTGCCTTGAGGACACGTCTCTGGGGAACACATTTCTCCCCACCCCACAAGTGCAGCTGTGGCACAGGGTGGCATGGGGTAGTTCTCACAAGCTCCCTCCCCAACTCCCCCAGCCGTGACCCATCTGGTGGTCCCCAGCATTCCACTCCATGGACTGAGCTCACCAGGGCCTGCCCTTCCACAAGCCGCCTTCCCCCTTCCCAAGCCCTGGGGCACAGGTCCTCCCCTCCTAGGCAGGGTTCTCCTCCATCCCCCCTCCAATGCCTGGCAACTAGTAGGCGCTCAGCAAATAGCCGTTTCCCCACAATTTTTTATTAGGAAAAATTCCAAACATACAGAATTGAAAGAACAAGTACACTCACTGTTCACTGAAATACCAGCTACTGAAGATTTAACAATGAATAGTTTTGCTTTACATGTTTTGTGTGTGTACTTTTGGGGGCACCATTTGGAATTAAGTTCCGCATTTCTTGATGTCATTCACTATGTAGTTCAGTATCTACCTCCTAAGGATAAGGACATTCTCCTAAAGACTCAACACCATTAAGTGGCTATTAGGTAAATGGTCTTCATGAGGTGCTTTTATCCAGGAAGGACAGCGGTGGGTGCTGGCCTTTGCAGAGGGGCGGGTGGAACCCATCTCCTCACTCATACGGACTCTCCCCGCTCCCAGGAAAAGCAAGCTCAGAGGGGCGCGTGGGTGGAGGATGGCATTCCAGTTCCACCTGGGAGTCCTGGACAAACCCATATCCCACCCCTTCCCAAGAGCTGGCAATTTGAGTGTGAATCCAGAGGCTGCGGCAACCAGCAGGGGGCTGCAGCGTGCCAGGTGGAGTGGAAGTCACGCGGGTTGGGATAAGCACCAGCCCCAGGAGCTTGGAATAGCACCCAGCGTGGGCTCCTGCCCGGCCCCGCCCAGATCATGACCACTCGGTTCACTCAAGGCTGCTGGGTCTAGGCCACCGAGGTGGGCACACAGGCCTCTGTCTACAGCCCAGGGGTCAGGCAAGGAGAGCTTCAGGGCTAGCTTTGCTGGAGGACTTAAATATAGAACAGGGAGACACAGTTGCCAGGCAGAAGCGGGAGGTACTGCGAATAGAACAGTGCTTTTTGCGGTGACAAAGCATCGAGGGAGCCTGCTACGTGTGTGCCAGGGGCTTCTGGGCAGATCTGTTTCTCATGGTGACCTCTGAGCTGCTGCGTGACTTTGTCCCCACTTCACAAGTGAGGAGTCTGAAGTTGAGATGAAGTCGTTTCCCCAAGAACGTGTCCAAGTAGAGGAGCCCGCCTGGAGGCAGTTTGGAGCCCATGTTCTTGGTGCACAGACTGTCATCCCTGGGGTCTGCACCCCAGGTGGTGGGACAGGCCCCACAAACTCTCCTTCAAAATCTCTCTGAACATGCCCAGCTCACCTCTGCTCACCAGTCTGCAACACCCTTGGAGCGCAGGTGCTTCAGGCAGCATGTGATGGAGGACGATCAAGCCAGAGCCTGGAGGGGTCAGAGCCCACTGAAGCAACAGCACTGAGCAGGTCTGAGGGGATAGGGCCAAGCAGATGTGGTCTTCTCCCTCTAGAGCTTTCCTTCACAGGCTCTGCAGAAGGCTCTGGAATGCCACTCGGAGCCTGTCTGGCACAGGGACAGAGGCTGGGCACGCACCACTGGCCCCTGCCCTGAGCTTTCTCGCCAGCCGAGGTCTGCCAACTCCTGTGAGTCCTGAGTGGCAGGTTCTAGTTCAAGGGCTCTGAGCTGGCGCAGCCCCAAACCAGGGCCTCCAGGGAGCATGCCATGAGTCAGCACTGAGATGTGAGCTGAGCAACAGGCAGGGCAGGCCGTGGGACGGGGAGCTGAAGTTGAAAGGGGGGGGGGCCCTTGGGGTGAATACCTAGAAGAACCCACATCCTTGCAGCCTCCAATGGCTGCACTCTTCGCCCCTGCAGATCTTTCCAGAAGAATTTCATCACAAACACTCCACTGGTGATAGCAGATGGTGTCCATGCTTGAGAGGATCAGTAAACCTGTAGGTCTTGGGTCTGACCTGCCTCCTTCCCCCTAGCCAGAGATGAGAACCCTTCACACACCTGTAGCCCAGAGCAGGAGCCTGAAGGAAGGTGAAGGAGGTAGGTGAGGGGGTGGGGATGGGCCTTCCACCCCATGGCTTGATTGTGTAACAGTACTTCATTAAAATAAAGTCACACGGTGCAGCTTTTATTAGACATTATTTTAATACCATATCAAAACACCTTGACTAATGAAGAAAGCTTTTTCCCCAAGCTTTGAACATTTTTAAACAGTTTTATAAGGTTGTATGTGTGTGTGTGTTTTAATATATAAATACAGAAACCTATCTTGCATGGGGCTGATGCCACATGTGAACATCAATGGCTAAAATGTTCTCAAACAGAGCGCCTGAAAACGGGTAGCTGTACATGTTCCTTTAGTACGTTTTTTTGTTTAAGTTTTCTGGAAAACAAAAATCCACAAGGGTCTAAGAAAAATGTTCAGGCATTTTTGCAGGACACTTGTGATTGTTACGTCCTCTGAACTGACCAGAACCAGGAGGAAAGAAGGGAGAAGACACGAGAATGGCAGGGGAGAAGGTCCTTGATGGGTGGTTGTTTTTGGCAATGAAGTCAAGATATCAGGGTCCCAAGGGGAGGAAAGTGCAAAACCAAGTCAGGAAAGTGGGAGAAAAACCAAGGCCAGGCGGTTGGTGACGAAGAGGGCCGATGGGCGCCGGGCACGAGGAGACCGTGGTGTCTGCTCCCGGCCATCAGAACTTGCGGCGAGAACCTGTCTCGGCTGTTTCTGTCACTGAGTGGGTTCTAGCTGGCAGCAGACAGCAATCTGTAAACATCACGAGGGAAAACACCAGTCGACACTAGACTTTTTTTTATAATTTTTTTTTTTTTTTTTTTGTAAACACTTTAAGAGACAGACCCACAATGCCTTTCAGAGGTGAAAAAGAAAACGCCCTTTCCCTCCTGGGATGAGGAGTGAGGGGAAGGACAGCGGTTGATTCTTCCTTCTCTCAAGCTCGCTCTCCTTCAGTTTGGTGTCCTCAGAGAGAAAGGGAGAGCCATTCTCTGGAGTCAGTGCGGAAGGGCTGCCAGTCCCCACTGGTGTCCCCAGTCAGCTCTGCCCCGTGTCCAATGCCTCCTCTCGGGAACAGGGGTCGGCTGTCCCTGTGTGGACCGTGACCCGTAAGTCGTGCTCCATCGGGCCGAGCTGGCTCACAGGCCAGCGGGGGTGTCTGTGGTTCCGGTCTGGGGCGCACCCCGAAGCCACACAGCATGCCGGCAATGTGCACTGGCACTCCAGCGCCGGGGCACGCGCCCTCTGCCTCTCTCTCACCCTCGCTGTTTCTTCTCCCCGGGTCCTCAGTTTTTGAGGTGAAGGTAAAAAGAGCAAATGTCCCTGATTTGTCTGACATCATCAGCTGTTCTGGGAGTTTACTTGGAATAAATAAAATAAACCTATCAAAGAACGAGAGAAAACAAAACAAGAAAGAAACGCCCCCAAAACCTTGGATGAGGTAGAGTCAGGATTTTGGGTTTTCTGGGGGCTGCCTGTTTGCCAGCCCAAGACTTAGAAGGGCCAGGTAAGATGGGGCCCAGGAGGGGTGCCCCGGGGAAGACATGGAGAAGCAGGAGCAGATGGTGATGCAGGGGAACAGGTGGGTGGGGGAGGTGCATGCAGTCAGCTGGGCCGGCCTGCTGTGCACAGGGAGCCTGTGCCGTGGGGTGGATGGGCAGAGCCTAGCCCGAGGCCTCGGGTGCATCCTGAAGCGGGCTGAGGGTAGTGGCCTGCCGGCAGAAAGTGCCAGCTTGAGAGGATCACTGGCGAGACTGCAGGGTGCCGTCCCAGACCGTCTCCTTTAACAGGTACAATGTCCAACGCTGGGGAGTGAGATTATCCCCCAAGAAGCAGAGACCCCAAGAGGTAAGGACTTGCTCGAGCCACCCAGCAAGCACTAGGCAGACAAGGGGTGTGACCCCCATGTCCAGTCCCAGCTCCTGTTGCTTCTCCACCCAGCATATTCCGAGGGGCTTCTCAGAACTTTCTTCAGGGAGGTCTGCCCTAGACAGCTGTGATACACTGCGCTCCCCACAACTGATCTAACACTGCAGAGCAGCTTCTTCATAAGCCTGTGAGTTTGCACGTCATCCATCACTGCCGGTGGAAGCGCAGGGCAGCTCAGCACCCCCACCTCCAGGACCAGAGTGGCTGGACTCCAAGTCTGGAGTCCAGAGCACCCCCAATCACAAGCTCACCTTTGAGAGAAGTCAGCAAGCGAGCCCAGCAGGGTCAGTCCGCGGGGTGTTCTGGACAAGATCTGTTCACTTCAAACCACGAGTCTATGCAACTGAGGCAGAAGGTGGCAAGGGAAACATGTTACTGCTGAGCAGGCGGCTCCCAAGGGGGCGTGCACCAAGGGCCAAGGCTTTCCCACTCTCTCCTATGAGGACCCCCGCAGAAAAGCGCTTTTTGAAACAGAAACAAGGGGGGACACCAAGGCTCATCCTGGCTCAGCCGGAGCAGCTGCCCTGGCCTGGTTAAGTCCAGGGGAAGGTGGCTCTGGGGGCTGCAGACCGGAGAGTGTGACCTTGATGGGAACCGAAGCCTGACCTGCAGAGGGCCCTGGAGGATGGCGCCTGCGACCTGAGGGAAGGTGGAGTGAGCAGACTGCAGCGAGCAGGGCGGCAGGGTGGGGCGGGGGGGGGGGGGCACAAAGAGGGGCTGGCCTGGCTCTGAGTGCAGGGGTCCTGGGAGAGCTCCGGCTCGAAGAGCAGCCGGAAGAATCCCTCCTTGGCGGGTCACTGCTCAGAGACCCCGTTCTCTCCCTGGCTCAGTGGAGCTGGTGTCCCAGAGAAGGCGGGGCAGAGGATGGGCTCCTCAGGCTTTGTGACGGGGCGGGGCAGGACGTTGATAGGACACCCTGTTTCCCCAAGGTTTACAGAAAGGACTCACTGAATGCAAAGGTACACACAGCCCCAAGACAAGTTTTTGGCCTTGTACATCAATGACTGGTATTTTCAAAGAAAGAAACCAGACAGATACATTGCATAGTTCTCCCCCAGGGTCAAAGCTTCTCTTCCTGGTTCCGGTTTGAGCCCTCAGTACTGAGCCCAGCCCAGCACTCCTCCCCAAGGCCAACCCTGAGCCTCCCCCTATTTTCATGAGGCACCACAATAACTGGCTGGCCAGAACCCCACATGTCAGGCTTTAGAAAAGTCCAGGCATCAGGAAGAAGTTCTGGGGCCCCGGAAGCAGAGAGCAGGTGGCAGCCATAGGCAGCACGAGGTCCTCCCAGCTCCATAAGGAAGTGTCTTCTTTATGGTTGGAAATAAGAGGCTTAGGTCAGGAGGACAATCTTGGCCCTGCTAATTATAGCAGCTTTCAGTGCCGGGCCACACAGGTAGTGGCTATTCCTTCCTCATGACCTTGGGGGTGGGGTGGCGGGTGGGGGAGAGGGCAGGTGCAGGGCCATAAGCCCACCCCCTCCTACTGGTCCTCCCCTCCCTCAACCCCCACAGGGCCCTCATCCGGGGGGTATCTGTGCACTTGGAACTGTAGTTCCTAGGGCTGGGAATCAACCTTCCAAGTACGATCCTAAGAGCTTGTGCCTATGGGGAGCCACAAGGCTACTTGAAGGCCCCTATCACCAGGCCTCGGAACTAGAGAAAAACCTGCAGCAATTCAACCCTGCCTGTGCTGAGCTTGCTGGTCTCTGCCTCAACCCTATCAGAGCCCTGGGGGTAGGAGGTGGATTGTTCCACAACCAAAAGAGAAAGAAAGGTATGGATCCCTGGACCAAAGGATCTGGGGGTGGCCTGTTCTTACCTTTTGTGATAAATGCACAGGCAGGGCAGCCTGGCTATCGTGTCCCCCTGAAGCAGCTCCTCCAGGCAGATCACACACTCACCCGCATCTTTAGTCAGCACATCATCTGCAGAGGGGACAGAGGAGCGCAGGAGAGGGTCAGCTGCTGCAAACAGGAGCACACCACCAGCCTGGGTCTAGGAGCTGCTTGGGCCACTCAGCTATGCCAGGTTCTGTGGCGGACACAGACGCCCTCGATGCACACCACACATTCATTATCCAAAGACAAAATGGGATTAATCATCAAAGAAATGGCCTGAGCTATGGAGAATGAGAACGGTTTGGTGAGGGGCAGACCTGGAATACAGACAGCATAAGGCAGATTTCCCCTGAATAGAATTTCCCCCCAAACACACACACAGACCATGAACACCGATTCCTGGTTTGGAAAAAGGGAACGAATGAAAGCGTAAACAGATGCTCTAGGAACTACTGGCCCATGCACTTCCACAGCAGCAGTGACTCTTAAAAAGCCCAAAGATGAGAAGAACCCAAGTGCCCACCATGCTGAGGAAAGGCTAAACAGGGGGCGTGCCCACAACGGCATGCTGCTCTGCCGTGAGAGAAACGAGGAATTGGCACAGCCCCAGTGCAGAAGATCCCCAAAAACGGCATGCCGAAAGGAAGCAGCCAACACCAGAGGCCACCGCCCGTGTAATTCCGTTTATATGTAATGGCCAGAATACGGAAGTTCAGAGACAAAAAGCAGTCAGGGCTGGGGAAACCGTCGTCTACCCCGACTGCTCAGTGGGTAAAGGGGTTCCTTTTTCTTCTTCTGTTTCTTGTGTGACTGTGTGTGGTAAGGTCACTAGCACGACATCTGCCCTTGAAGTTTTTAATGTTCAATACGACATTTACCCCAGAGTCTTCAAAATCAGAGGGGAAATAGCAGAAGAGCTCCAAGCACCATCAGGTCCTCACACTGAAACATTTTAATTGCTGTGAACCCGTCTGGGATACCTAAGCCGCAAGTTAAACTTCTCGCCAGAGAGAGGGTCATGAAGAGCCGGTCACGCTGCACTCCCCCAGCGCTGTTTCTCTGTACTGTCTGATCACACTGGTGGGAAAGGAAACACCTGTGGCCCATAAAATGAGGATTCTTCATGGTCTGGAAAGGCTACGGTGACCCCACACCCTCCTACCAGTAAGTCTGAGGGCAAGACCTATGACAGGCAATCAGACTGAAGTCCCCGGACGGTGCCGAGCTGAGAGCGCTGCCACTGTCGGTTCCCGTCTCCCGGGACAGCCATGGGCTTTCCTCTGTCTGCTAGGATCTGCCTGACCCAAGGGCTGGCGGAAAGGGCCACACAAACAGAAAAAGCAGCTGGTGCACAGCCAGCCTACAAATATAGTGGAACCTCAGACTCCCAATGTAGCCAGTGGCACGTGAGCTAAACAGGTACAATCCCATTTTTTTTTTTTTTTTGAAAACCGGATACCGTCCATATTTAAATATTTGTGTGTATATATACATGTCTGTATACAGAAAACAAGTCTGGAAGGACACATTTTAGTAATGACTGAGGAGAGGAGGATGAGAAGAAAAAATGTTAATTACATTTTGAATTGCTAAAAGATGCATTACTTTATAATTCAAACCCCCAATCAAGAAACATACTGGCTTTTCACTTTACTCTGAAATGCACCCAAAGGCTAGGAATGACCACACGGGTGGCCAGGGACGTGACAAGGCAAGAGCAGGGCACCCCTGAGACGGTGGGTATTTGATCTGTTCGCAGCAAAACTCATCTCTGCTGTGTGTAACATTCTGCATGGTAAACTCTTAGAGGAGAAGCCCCCAGTAAAGATGGCAGGAGACACAGTTTAGTCTCACTTGGCATGTTCCCCCATGGGCTGTCTCAGCATCTACAACACGAGAGCAGGTCTGGCCCCACTTACAGGGGACTGAGGGAGCACAGGACATCACTGATCCCAAATCACTGCCCCCTTGCAGTCGCCGATGACTGTAACTGCCGTGACCCCAGAGGGCGGGCTAGGGTCTCTAGGTCCCCAACAGCTCCGGATCAGCTGCACTTTCTCAGCCCACCTTAACGCTCAGGAGGGTCCAGGAGGTGCTCAGAGGGCCTGGGGTAGGGGGCGGAAGGGCAGCCAGAAAGAGAAGCAGCTTGCTTCTTCAGCACAACAGGCCTTACTTAGCTCCCCTCTTTCCCCACTGTGGACAGCCGCAGGGGAAGGACAGGATGGGGCACAAGGACGGTTCTTCCACAACCTGCTCTTGCGACGGGCACCACCACGCTCACTCCAGCACGCATTCGCACACAGCCTGGGCCTGCAGTTCTGGCGGGAAGACTAACCTGCAGCTCGCGCCGGGCTGGCACTCAGTGGTGGCACATTTCACTGGGATCAAGAGCCCTGGCTGCAGAAGGCTGCCTGCAGCTTCCTAGGACGGGGAGGACATTAGGGACATGGGAAGCTGACAGTGCCCACACCCAGCAAAGCGCTTCTCTGCGGGAGGAGCACGAATCTGGCAACAGGCCTGAGTGGGTTGAGTAAAACTTCCGGTGTCATTCGCTTGGGTTCTGGGAATCAGCAGCCCCCAGATGTCCTGGGGAGCTTAGCAGCAGAGTGGAAATGGCTGAAGCTGAGCTTGGCTACCAAGTGGTTCCTCTAAGACTCCCACCCACACTTTCCTGATGGGAACTACTGCCAGCTGTGAGAGGACTCAGCCTGGCACAAGGTGAGGCTGCTCTGCAGAGGGCTGCCCACTCAGCTGCCCCTCGGCAGTCCAGGTCCCCAGAGGAAGGAGATTTAAGCAGTGCTGGTTGATGAGAATACAGGAATGGAACTGCCTTTCTTCTCCGGCTTTCCTCCTGCCTCCCTGGCCTCCCAAGCTTCCTGCACCCAAGTGCAAAGCCAGTGTCACTGCCTGGGGGGTACCGGGGTCTAGGAGTGTGTCTGGCCTGGCTGGGGTTATGGTAGATGATGCCAATGCCTCCATCCAGAATAGAGGAGGCTGTAGTGGAAGGCACAGCTCTCTGGTGCCAACAGGGAGGTGCGATGCCAGTGGCAGGGCAGGAGGAGGAGGTGATGGTGGATCAGCTCCTCCCTGGGATATAGGATAGCTCTTCTGACAGCAGCTGATTGTCAGAGAAAAGACATCTAGGAGGAAAGGGAGAGCCTTCACTTCCCTGGGTCTGGCAAAATGCCAGGAACTTCACAGTTACAGCTCAACAGGCTCCTGAACATCCAGGGGTGGGGCAAGGGGTGTCTGTGGGTCAGCTTGTGCAGGCGCCGAGGGCCCAGGGCACCCAAAGCCCCAGTTCCTTCCCCTCGGACACTCTGCCTCCTTTTCTGTAAGGTCAGGTGACAGGACATCTGGCTGGGGGATGGGCAACAGCAGCCATCACACAGCTTCAGGCTTTCTTTCTGTGAATGCATGCGTGGGGTTTAGCAAAGGGGGGGGCGGGGGGGGCCTCAAGGAGCCTAGTTGCTCAGAGGAATGAGGGGAGCCGCTCCGCTGCCCCCACGAACCACTGTGGGGGCTTGGCTGCCTCAGGAAAAAAGCTGGCTCCACATTCCCCAGGGACCCTGGGAGCTGCTGGCAGCAGAGGGGCTGGGAGGCGCCGACAGCTATGTCTCTGCTGGCTGCCCCCAGGGAGGAAGGCTGAGAGCCAGCAGCTGAGCAGGACGACAGAATATAGTTCCCCTTCAGCCTGATGGCAGTTAGGGCCCTGGTGGGAAGGAAGGTAGGAGCCAGAGGGAGAATCCGTGCAAATGACGCAGAGACACAGCCCCACCCCCTGGCCTCATTTCCAGCTTAGGTGCTGAAGAGCTTGTTCTTGCAGCCGAACCGCTTCAGCATGCGCAGAGCTGCTGGCCCAGTCTCCTGAAGGACAGGCAGGGCAGTGCCACCAGTGCCAGCTCCCTCCTTGGGAACTCTCCAGGCAAAAGAGCAGAGAGCCTTCCCTTGCCAGCAGTGGCATCCCTACCCCAATATTCCAAATATGATTTAATCGCTTTGGTAAGATGGGTGAAAAGGTGATAGCCCAGAGGGTGAACGAGTAAAGCTCAGATCCAGAGGGTTCAGGTTTATAGGAGCCCCCCACAGATCCTCCACTCAGACCCTTCTCCTCTAGCATCAGATTCCTACTTCCTGCGAGCGCCCTGCCCCCCACTCCTCATTTATGAGAGGAAGCTCCTGGTGATGCTGGAGGGGCACAGGGACAGACACCTTTGCAGCCGCAGCCGGACTCCAGTCCACAAGGCACCTATCGCTCCTGGCAGCGTCCCACTGCCCTGAACAGGGCCCTGCTTCCCCCTTCCAGCCCAGCCACAGGGTCTCTGAGGGCAGCAAACTCAAGCCAAGTAGGCACCACTAGCACAGGTCTGCTGGCTTGGGCCTCATTCCTGCCTGTAGGGAAGCCAGGTTCCCTCCCTTTAGAGAAGCATGGTATGATATTCACCATTTTAAGAGACTTGAAATTGGGGTAATGACCTCTGGTAGAGAAGAAAGAAGGATGGTGGTCGGGATATGGAAGAGTGGCTGTGGGCCTGCACCCACAAGAAATCTGAGAGGGGAGAATGCCCTGAGGCAGCCCTGACAGTCACCAGCCTCTCCTAACACCACTGGCAAGTAATCCGCCCCACCCCACTCTCCCAGGACCAAGGCCCCAGTCTGGTCCCGGACCCAGTGACCTTCAAGTGTTCAATCAACAGCTGGTCATCGGTTATACCCACCCCCCTCCTCGGTCCACAGCTAAGCAAGGCCCCAGCTCTAGGCTCCTTATGCCAGCTGAGCAACCTGATGGTCAAAATGCAGGTGCATATTCTGGAATGTGAACTCCATCAACCTCAGAACCACGAAGCTGGTGGAAGGGAGAGCAATTCACAGACCCACTCAAGCTGACCACACTGCCACAAAAACAGGCCCCACCAAGTCTTTCTGATGCCATGGAGCGTGCTCGTCTTCTAGGGGTCCTGGGCTCCAAGCGCCTGTGGAGGAGGCAGGGCTGCTGCCATGCTCCGGCTTCCCATGCCTCCCAGCCAGCTGCGGGCCCTGAGCCCGTTAGTGGTCTTCACATTCTCGTTGAGCGTTGGGTAAACCAGTTAAACTAGTCTTGCCTTTTCCAAAAAAAATTTTTTTTTAATCTGGCAGGCAGCTACTGGAGGCCTTCCAACCCACAGCTCAGGCCAACCTCATAATAAGAAAAATACTACTTTCTATCTGCTTCATTTAGGAGATCGCTACTTTCCCCCTCTTTGGTGGTTAACTAAATTTCATCTTATACAACCACTATAAATTTTCTGAAAATTTCCCCACTGGTGCCGGCAACCACAGTGTGTGTGTGTACATGGCAATTTCCAGGGGAGTGACCAGTTCTAGTGCATTTTCATAAGAAAACAGCACTTTTCTCTACCCACTAAGAAAGTCTCATCTTCCAGAAAGATGCCAAGAGCGCTATACCTCACAGATTCTTTAAGTCCCCTCACACGTTTTATTCTTAGAGAAAAGAGAATGTGATGAAGACAGGGAAGTCTGATGCGGAGAAATCAAGGGCAGAACACATTACTGGCAAAACCCAAACACCTGGGGTTGGACTGGGGACTGTGGCCCACAATCCCTGAAAAACTTGTGCTTCATTTCTACAGGGAGACACACCCTCAATCAGGCTGAGCCCTGGAAAGTTCCTCTCCCTATGCAAATCCCAGCAACAGGCACCATGCCCCCACCCGAAGCTAAGTGTTTTCAGAAGAGGCAGACTGAGTATGAGGAGGCTGGCCACGAAAGGTCCCTCGCAGGGCCCACACATGCTTCCGTTCTGTGGATGACCCTGCTCAGACCCGGCTGCCAGCCTGCACCCTGAGGAGGTCACTTCCCAGAATCGCCCAGAAAGCAGCAGCACTGCACAGAGAGGCACTTGCAGGCGTCAGGCAGCTCTCTCTCTAGACCTGCACCTCCCCGCTTTCCCACAAGGGCATGTAAGTTCCTTACTGAGGTGGCCAAAGGAGCCCCCTGCCCTGTACAGCTGCTCTGCCCAGTGCCGCTTAGAGCCCACACCAAGAGGCTGCTTTGTGTTCTTGTGACAGCACAGACTGTCTGCAGAGAACTCTCCCCAGCGGCCCAAGGACAAAAAGCAGTCTTCATGAGGGCTCTGCACATGTGGGAGACAAGTGAGTCCAGTTTCTGAGGCCATCACTGGGGCGAAGACACCTCTCCCCCCATGGTTCCAGGCAGAGATGAGGAACAGGGCACAGGGGGTTGGAATAGCCTCGAAGGAACGAACACTGGCCAGTGTGATGGGACACCCAGAGCACACAGATAACAGATTCAGAAAGAGTAGAGCCTGTCCACTGAAGTGGCTCCTGGACACCAGGAAGCATGTGAAGGAGAAGGAAAAGCTGGGTACAGAGACCTGCACTGTAGCTTATCCTCACCCTCAGCAAAGCTAGTCAGGCTGCAGTAGTGAAGACAGGCAGGTAGCTGCCCCGCCTGCCAGCATCCGGTCTGTTGGCTGAGGAAGTACACCAGAGACAAGAATAGTAGGATGTGTTTTTAAGAGAAGCTTAGTAGATCGGATTCTTCCGATTAACTTCACATGAGCAACCTGGAGTGGTCAGGCCTCCCAGGCTAACACTGTGGGGGTGGGAGGGCGGAGCACATTTGGGTTTGGGGAGGGCAGGAGCCCCAGGACAGGTCTGTAAGGAGAGTCCACTCAGGAGACTTCCACCGTCGGGATGGGGTCAAGCAATCCAGGCTCACCTCCAGTCCAGCCCCCGACTCTGAGGACTCACAGAAGTCCTTCCTAAGCACTGTTGTGACTTTAATCCTAGGTGGTGCCCAGTGTCAAGGTAGGGGTCCACCCCACTCAGATCCAGTGCCTGTTCTTGGAGAAGACAGGTTCTCTGATGAATATGTTTGAAGACCAGACTAAGCACAAGAGTGAGACCACAGCAGCATGAGGTGCGCAGCATTAAAGAGAAGTCAGTTCACTCTGGAAAATGACGAAAAGACATCTTTTGGGAGGGGCTATTCCTGCTAGTGGCAGCTGTAACTTCCTAAGTACTGATAATGTTCCAGGCCCTGTGTAAGGGTTTTACATGCAATACCTTATTTGTTCTGACAATAATCCTGTAAGTCAGATATTGTCATCCTCATTTTATGGACTGAAGACTCTGCTGGACTGAGCAACTTGCCAAAGATTATACCATCTATAAAGGGTAGAGTCAGGCTTTACACTCTGATCAGCTGGGCTCCTAATCCTTACCCACAGCACACCTGGCAGATGCTGACACTCATGTCCTCCAGAGGCGCTATGTCAGGGGACCTGGGTTGCACCGAATTCCCAGGCCTGCGATCCTGCTCCCTGTTACAGTCACTACTCAGCAAGAGCCAGCACGGCCTTGATGGAGTGGGTAGGCGGCCGGTCAGCCTTGTTAATCCCTACCGGGTGCCCATGAGTTGCACTTATTCTGCCCTGGAAAGTCATCAGTGCAAGCCACTGCCACAGACTCCCCATTCTCCCAAGGAGAAGGGGTGCTTCTTCTGGGCCCTCTGCTGCTCTCAGGTGTGTGGAGGGGCGAAGGCATGGCTTTATCTCTCAGCTAGAAGGCCAAGGAATCAAGGGCTGGAAGAAGAGAGGGAGTTCAGGGTATTAAGGGGGGAAGGAATGAAGCGGCAGCAGAACTAATTAAGCAACTCAAGCGCCTTCCCAGAACCCCAAGGCCCCAGGGCCCTCCTTCCTCGTGACACTCTGCTTCCTCTCTGCTGGGCAGCGCGGCTCCCTCAGGTTCCTCAGCACCCTTCAGCATTCCCGCCACAAGGTGTGTGCAAATGCTGTCAGAATCCCACGAGGCTGAGAAGACCCTCAGCCAGAGGCTCTCCCTACCAGGCTCTTACCGTTGTAGGAGAGGCGCGGTTTGCTCAGACACATTATAAAGTGCATTTCCATCTCATCAGAAGCCACAGACTTGGAGCAAATGGGGCACTTGAAACCTGAAAGAAAGAAAAACAGGGTGAACTGTTTTCTCTAAACCAAGCATAGCATCATATAAGTGGACACTCCACTGAGCATGGTGATGTGGGGTCAGTCAAGGTGGGAAATGACACCGAACGCTGTAGATTTCTTTTTCATGAAGTCAAATGAAATACTGCTGTTGTTACTACATCCTCCGAATCCCATTTTCCCCCAGATGCACTCCCAGTCTCAGGCTCGTTAATGTTTATCATAGGCAGGGACAGCTGATCTGAGGTTTTCCTATTCTAACTCTTCCCCAAAGGAATCTAGTGGGCAGCAGGAGGCAGGGGGGCACTAACAGGCAAAGGAACCATTCGTCTTTGAATAATGAGGAGTTTGATACCTTTCACCTCCCAGCCCTCACTCCACTTGGGTAGGTCATCATGGGAGGAACCTCTAGTCCCTGGTCCCCCCAGAACCTCTGTCTCGCTGTGGGGAAGCAGCTGTCCTCTGAGAGTGCGTCGCTGGGGTGGACTTCCAGAGCACTCCCAAATGCCACGCGTGCCTGGGCCATATGCCACCCTAAGTCGCAGCTGTTTCGCAAGGCCAGGCACACTCAGGGTGCTGTGACCTCACTGTCTTATTCCCAAGGAAGTTTGGACTACTGACACACCCTGGGAGTTTCACTGGAATTATGCAAGTGTTGGAGGTGGCGGCTGGAGTCTTCTGAGTAGAACTCCATTAAGCAAAACTAGTTCCTTGGTCTATTTTTCATAAACTATTTTTAATAGAAAAACACAGCAAACTATTTCCAACCCCCCCATTCTACTTTTACTGAAATTATTTTCAAATGATCCATTCTTTCCCATGTAAATTCTACCCAAAAGATCCGATGACCTTAACTGAAATTTTGCGTATCAGGGCTTCTCCCTCTTGTGACCTGAATTCCTGTCCACCTAGTCTGGGTTTCCGAAGTCAAGTGCAGCACACATAAATATTTCTGTGAAGCTCTGGCTCTTCTATTAATTTTTAGTCCAAATATGTTCCAAGCACAGCTGTAGTTGGATGCTGGTGACATCTACTAGCAACAACTATCACAAAATAGATGAAGGGGTTTCTGTTGGCTGCTAGCTGCTCCAGGACAGAGCTGTTCATTCACACCTTCACCAGAGCTCTTATCTCGACAACACTGGGACAGCTGGTGGTGTGAGACAGGAAGCAGGCCAGCTCCTGTGTTCCCGAGGGGGCACAAGACCTTAGTCTTCACCAAACCCTCCTCTTCTCAGTGACAAGGCTTTGAACTCAAAGACCAGACAGAAATTCCAAGGTGTGGGTACTACAAAGTGGGCCACAGTCCCCATCTCTCCTAACCCCTTTCTCAAACATATTAATCCAAGAACCTGGCCAACCTGAGCAAAGGCTGTGTTTTCTTACCTCTGAATGGTTACAAATCCATTAATAACAAAACCAGGAAAGAAACATGCTGGGAGAGGCCCAGCCCCAGTTTTCTGGCATTAGTGGACATCAAATGCGCAAGGTGGCTTCTTTGCTAACCCAGCGTAGAGACCTGCAGACCCAGCAGTACAGTATAGGTGAGGAACGGACTTGAGTCTAGTGAACTTGAGAATGAGGATGTCTTCACACCGAACCCAAGTCCGTCTGCACCTTTGGTTTGGCCTACCTGCTTATACCCAGCAAGTATACCAATATTTAGATTAAATAACATTCTAAACAATGACTAGCTATTGGGACATTTCTCATTTTCTTCAGAGATTCATTCACTGTTTCCTCCCACCCAAAAGACCAAGGTTTTACAACAGTTTAAATGACTACAGAATACTTCTACTCTAAACTCGCTGAGCTATACAGGCAGAAGCACGGATATGTTCTGAACCAGGCTCTCCAAGAGTGGCCTAACAGTTACCGGGAGCCATTAACGTGACTTGTTACTAAACAAGTCTTAGATACTTGTTACTAAACAAGTCTTGCATATTACTCATTTTTCTGATAACTTAAACCAGACTCATGATTATGCTACAGTAGCATCACTCAACCCCTCACATTCCAATGGGATTCCTGGTGAGCAGGAGAGTTACAGGGAAGGTGCTGGGAAGCACTTACAAGGGAATTTATTATGTCCCAGAAAAATAGAAAAGCAAATTGAGATTTACAGGTTTAGACCAGTCCCTCCATTGTCTAAAGAGTCTGGGCGGGGCCACTAGGTCAAACAACTGAGGGGCAGGAGCAGATTCTAGAATTAGATTCTTAACCCACAATCTAAAATCCTTTCTCTCAGGGAAAGAAAAAAAAAAAATGAGCTGGCCACAGGTGTGATATTGTGATTTATAACAAGAAATATATTGGTCTTCTGGCTTTCTGGCACAGAGCTCCTAAAACCCTTGGAATTTCCTAAGAGATAAGAAAATGGAGCATCTTTTGTTACAACACTTGGTCTTTTGTCAACTGTTCCTAAAATAGTTTCAGCAGAGTTGTAAAAGTGAAAGGAGTGCCTTGCTATTTAAAACAAGTCCTTTCAACCCCACAAATTTGTGGAGGTGACTTCTGGAAAGCCCCTGGGTAAACTGAGGATGGGGGCTGGTTGCCAACAGAACCAACCACATGTGTAGAGTGTCAGACGTTTGAGTCCCACGCCTCACCTCTGGGGAGAGGAAGAAGGGGCTGGACACTGGGCTCAATAATTTAATCAATAGTGTCTATGTATGTAAGGAAATACCCAAAAGAATGGGGTTTAGAGAGCTTCCCAGTTATCAACATGCGTAAGTGATGGGGAGTGGCGCATCAGAGAGCACGCACATTCTCCGAACCCATGCGCTCTTCCTCCCCTCTCTTACCCTATGTATCTCTTCCACCAATTGTTCCTGTTCATGTACTCTTATGATAAACTGGTAATCCAGTGAGCCACATGTTTCTCTGCATTCTGTGAGCTATTCTAGCAAAATAATTTTACTTGGACAAGGGGTCTGTGGGAACTCCGATGAGTAGCCAGTGGGTGAGAAGCACAGGCGACACCTGGACTTCTCTGGCTGGTGCCTGAAGAGAGGCCGGCTTCGTGGGACTGAGCCCTTAATTATAGAACCCGATGCTGCCTCCAAGTAGGTTGCGCCAGAATTGAATTTAAGTGTCAGTCACTGGTGGGAAAACCACCACGCGAGAAGATGTGAAGAGGTGGGCTGGTAAAGACCAGCTCTGGAGAGGAAGCACCCAGTAGAAGGAAGAGAATGGCATTCTAGCACAGGTACCACTTCCATACCAACCTCTGGATTTGGAGGACAGAGTAAGGCTCCAGGAATAACTCAGGGTCCTTATATGCATGGAAAATGCCAAGATGACCTGGGTTTTCCAGCCCCTCCCTAGAATGTGGTAAGTGATCTGACTTCCCTGGATCTAAGTTCCCCTATCTGGAAAACAGAGAATTGACCTCCACTTCTACAGAATGAAATATAACAAACACAAAAACAGGCTTAAAAATAAGCTAATCAAATGTAGGGTGGTCTCATCATCAAGCCCAACAGCAGCAGGATTAGGGAGGGGTGCGGTGGGGGTGGGTGGTCACCGGCGGAGCAAAGTGTGTGGCAGGGTGCCCATTCCTGCTGCTCCCACCTCTGCTTCCTGGGACCTTCTGGTGCTCCGGGCATGGTCCTTCCCATATGGCCAAGGTGGAAACAGTCCCTGCTTAACCTCTACGTGACCTGCTCCTGCAGATGACGATAGATAATGGCTCGCATCTGAGTCTTTTGCTATGGGCTGCACTGGTAAATTCACCATAACAAGAGGTGAGCTATTTTGCAAAAGACACCAAGGTAAGCGATCTGCCCTGGGCAACTCAGCCAGAGAGAGCCAGAGCCAGCACACAGCACCCAGGTCTCACTAGCCAGCATTCGCCTTGCTGGCTCAGCTGAGTGACCGGCTGACAGGCACAGGATGAGGAGTTTCATGGCAAAGGAAACATAAAATACTACCAACATGTGGGAAATACAGAATACTGACTCGAAATCTTCCATATCGTCCCAGCAATTTCTCTGGAGGTGCTATAAACTCAAGCAATCTTTATTTTTGCTGGGAATTCTATAAATGTGGAAGAACAAGTTTCTGCTTTCTACTTGGTACTGAGCCTGTGACACTGCTTAGAAGATGCCAAGTTTGCAAATGGGAAAGAAAGGGCAAAAGGAAAGAAGAACAGGGAAAATATGGAGAAGTAAAGAGGAAAAACTAACACCCCCACCTTTCTTTCCTGAAAGGTCATTTGATGATCAAGATGGATCTATCCTCTTACTGCTCCAATCTTTTCTTGTAATTGTCTAGTCACGATTCAGCACCAACAGCACAATGGAATGACAAATACAGAGATCTTTATGAGCTATCTGAGGGTTAAAATACCCAGGAGATTTTTATCATACTTTGGTAAAAGTCGAACCATGTTAAGACCCACTCTGGCCTGTAAAATCACTCACAGGCATGACTGTCAAGTTGCACGGGGCTCTTATCAGCACCCAGGATATGCGGCTAAGAGAGGCTTTCTTGTCCTTCATGAGAAAGCTACAGGTGGCGTTTTCAAGCCTCTCGCTCACTGCAGCTGAGACCAGACTGCCTGCCAGGTCCTGGAAGTCAGGAGGGAGGAGAGCACACTGCAAGTGACCCCAGCCTGCCCCTTGCCCACCCACCGAATTTCCTCTCGTGACAGTGTCCTGCAAGTGTGGTGTCTTTAATACTCGTAACTGGTGGAGTACAGGGAGGCACAGGCTAGCTCAGGCTGCCAGCTTGATCTGATACTGTGGCAGAGGTAGGAAACTTGCCCAATTCCCAGTACTTTTCTGCCACCCTTTCAAAACGAGGAAGGAAGGAAGGAGTGACAGCACCACGGGGAATTTGTCTACAATCGCCTGACTCTGTGCTGAGCAATTTCGATCAAGCAAATGCTGCGACAGGCGCTCTCCACCCCCACTGGAGTAGCTGACTTCTAATGGAGACCTCATTTCCCTTCTTTCTCTTGTCATAGGATCAGCTCAAGGTTATGCAG